TTTGGTTTAAAAATTTTAAACTTTTGTTTTCGTTCCTAATGGCTATGTTTGCTTTGTTTTGCGCCATCAGTTTCGTCTCGACGACTGAGTTTGGTTCAGACGTACGGACTGTACGACTTTCCTCTTTTTTTTTTTTTTTTTTTTTTTTTTTTTTTTTTTTTTTTGAAACTCAAAATTGAACTTTTATGTCCTTACAGTCTACCCGGGGCCAAGTCCCATTATTGTCAATTTATTGTCATTCCATCTTGGACTATCCGTTGTTCTGGCTTTGCTGGATCAACAAGTCCCATTGATCTTCTACAATTAAATCTACTACCAGAACAAAATAAATAAATAAATAAATAAATAAATAAATAAATAAATAAATCTACTACCAGAAATCGTGGATCAGGGTAAATCGAGCATCGCCCCCTGTTGAAAATCCTGGGAGCATTACCCAGCTTTCCCTCAAGTGGAGTACTCTCAAGCCGCTTCGCCCCGCATTTCGTTTTCGTTTTCGTTTTCCTCTTTCCCATTTCCTCTCTATCCATTTCATTTCCCTTCACAAAATTTTCCTGTCTTTTTTCTCCCTCACACATGGAGTAGGGTATGAAGGAAGATCGGCGTTTCACAGTGTTACTCCATGAGAAAACAACCCTGATAAGCATCGTCCTCATGCGCACTAGGCTACTAGCACAATTTCAACTGAAGAGAGAGAGAGAGAGAGAGAGAGAGAGAGAGAGAGAGAGAGAGAGAGAGTAGGGTATGGGCGAAGATCGGCGTTTCACTGTGTTACTCCATGAGAAAACAACCCTGATATGCATCGCCCTCATGCGCACTAGGCTACTAGCACAATTTCAACTGAAGAGAGAGAGAGAGAGAGAGAGAGAGAGAGAGAGAGAGAGAGAGCATCTTTACTTCCTTGTGAAAAGACCACTGGGATTTTCTTGGCACTGACGTCGTAATGTATGTTGTGCTAAGTCAGGTGTAGGCACTCTTTTCTTGCGACAGCTGAAGGTCTGTGTACGTCAACCCGCTTAGTTGTGCAGGACCAGCAAGCAGCCCACCTTAGGTC